CCATGCAATGTTACAAAACTACGTACAGATATGCTGTGTTACAAATAAAACTGTGAAGTTTTGGCTTGAGTCCAAGCGCTACAGACGATGTTGATGCTTTTCAGTACTGGTTCCCGATAAATTAAAGGCCGTTCGTGGCCATGAGAAAGCCATGTCATCAGTGGCTGGCGTCTCCTCAGCCTTCACCTCAACCGCTGTTTCATGCTCCAACTTTTCATCGACCAACTGAAAAAAAAGACGTGAAAATAACTATATCAACACTAGCGGCAGCAGATTAATTCTTAAATTCAATCTGAAATAAGCCCACTACCAAACAACCTGAAAAAAAAATACCGCCAAGAATGCTTAGATAATCGTTTTTTGCTGAATCATGTTAGTAATGCTGTTAAATGCCTCAAACACCTGATACAATTCTGTAATGACTTCTGTTCTGAGCTTACATATCTCTGGCTGTTACGCTAGGCCTGTTCGATGTATGTGCGCTATTGGCGCTATGTGAAACAAAAAAGAAAAAAAAAATATGATACCATGCTTCGGCGATCAGCAATAAGAAATCTCGCTCGAACTTTCTTCAACGTTAAAAGTCCCTTCACTAATCGTCGCCAATTTTTGATGGCCCGCTCTTTTCGTCTCTGAAATCTTGCACCGTAAATTCTGGTTGTTTTTAAATGTAAAACACTCGCCGTTACATAATGAATTAAAAAAAAGCTGAAAAGAATATTCCAAAAAGTTACCTTCTCAGCAGCAACCTGCTTTCTCTCATAAAACTCCCGCCACGCTGCACGTAATGCTTTTTCATGTTCCTTTAAAACAACACATCCTTCGATACTGGAATAAAGTTAATTTCAAAAACAAGACGTTTTCTCGCGTCCCTCCACCTCATTTTCCCTGCAGAGTACTTTGCCGGAAATAGTCCAAGTCGTAGCATCTTGCCAAGGACATTTGTTGTTTGGTACATCTTTCAATATTAGTACAAATTGATATGAGTGAACAGAACAAGAAGGGATGACAATTCCAGTAACGTAATTAATCGAATTCTCGACCATTAGCGTAGAAATGACGCCATCTGACAATGCGCCGTGTCTGTCAGAGAAAATAATAAATCAAAAAACACAACACAGCTCATAAGCAATCTTTTCTAATAATAAGACTAGCCCGCAAACTATTTGTGACACAGTGTATTAATCATTCAAATATGCTTAAATATGACCAAAAAATTAAGAAATTTTTATTGACGAAGAATTATAACGAGGAAGAGGGGAGAGCAGAGGGCATGGATGAGTTGGTACCACGAATTATGAAGTACTTTAGCCTATCTCCAATACACCCAGTCTGCCTCGGTGCGGTGAGAAAACGGGAAATATAGAAGAAATGGTGCTTGAACCTGTAAATTTCACGGCGCTGCTAACTAAAAACTGAATAA